CTGCTGGCTGCTTTCAAGTATGACCTCCAAATCTAGCTTCTGAGAGCGGGCAGATGTACCTCCAGGGGCGTAACCGCTTAAGCGAACAGTGCGGAAAGTCCGCACCATTTTTAAAACTTATTCCTGATTTTTTAGAATCTATTTGCCGCAAACGGCGCATGACCCCTGAAAACCCTTACACAAATGTGTTCCTCGTTTCCCAGGTGCCCCCATTAGCTTCATAAGCGCCCTCTTTGGCATATAAGCGCCCTATGTATAGTCATCAGAGACATCCCTATATGTCCCACAGTCGCCCCGTTGTCGCATACAATGTGCGCTTATCATAGGCGTCTCTCTTTTATGGACACTTGAAGGCGCCTCTCTGCCATGCCGGCGCCCCTGTTTCTTATGAATGCACCCGCATGGCATTGATCAATTGCAGTCTGCAGACCTCTGTTGCATGTGAACGCCCATATATGCAGGCCTCAGAGGCGCCCCTCTTTCGCATTGAGGCGCCCCTATGGGCTTCATAGGCGCCCCTCTATTGCACGTAGGTGCCCTACTGTCTCAGAACCTTTGGCATGCAGACGCCCATCTTTCGTACGGAGGAGCCGCTGTGGCTCTTAGAGACGGCATGGTGCTCCCAGATGCAGATGGGGCTCTCGGAGTCGACAGTGTGGAACCTTCAGTCGCTGATGGGTGCCCGCCAGATGTGGACCCTCGGAGACGCCGGTATGGGGCGCTCAGAGATGCCGGTATGTGGCCCTAAGAGACACCGGTGTGGAACCCTCAGATACTTCAGTGTGAAGCCCTTACAATTGCTGGTGTGGAGCTATGAATGCGCTGGCTTAAATCCCTCAGAGGCCGGTACATGGACATTAGAGCTCAGTGAGAGCTTGTGTGGTGCCTTCAGTGGCCTTGTGGAGCCGTTAGACATCAACATGGTGCTCTCAGGAGCCGGTGAGTCCTCAGAGTCACCGGTGTGGGGCCTTCAGAGCTCCGAGATACTGGTGTGGGGCCCTCAGAGGTGTCGGTGTGGGTCCTTCAGATGTACCTATAGAGCCTTGAGATGCACAGGTGTGGAGGCCCACAGAGGCGCCGGTGTGGGGCCCCCAGAGCCACCGATATAGGGCCCTAAGAGACACTAGTATGACCCTCAAAGGCGCCGCTGTGTGGCGCTCATAAACACTGGTTTGGGGCCATCACAGGCGGGTGGAGCCGTTAGAGGCTGGAAAAGGCCCTTAGATGCCTACAAGGAGCCTTCAGAAGCCGGCGTGGCACCCTTATGGGGATAAGCGTGTCTACTTAGGAGCCCTTGAGGTGCTCTCATTAAGTTCTGTGGGGCCCTACCGAGCCGAAATATGGCCACGGCCAGTTGCCGCCCCATGGCTCTTCGGACTATCATTCTCAGGGACCTCATCTGCCTAGTTTGAATAGAAGGGCCCCTCAGACCAATCAGTCTCATGGGCCTCCTCTGGCTAGTATAAATAGAAGGGCCTGTTAGACCATCAATCCTAGGGGCCTCCTCTGGTTAGTATAAATAGAAGAGCCTCTCAGACCATCAGGGGCCTGTGGACAGTATAAATAAGAGGGCCTCTCAGACCATCAGTCTCGGGGGCCTCCCTAGAAAAGTGTAAATGTGGATAGAGGGTCCCCTTAGATTCATTAGGAGTGGACCTCTCTGACTATCGGTCTCAGGGGCCTCTTGTGGCCAGTATGAATATAAGAGCCTCTCAGACCATCGGTCTCAGGGGCCTCTTGTGGCCAGTATGAATATAAGAGCCTCTCAGACCATCGGTCTCAGGGGCCTCTTCTGACTAGCGTGGATAGAGGGCCCTCCCAGACCACCGGTCTCAGGGGCCTCCAGTAGCCAGTTATATGAACAGAAGGGCCTCACAGCCATCAGCCTCGGGGGCCTCTTCTGACTGGTGTGAATATGAGGGCCTCTCATACCATCAGTCTCAGGGGCCTCCTCTGCCTAGTGTGAATATAAGGGCTTCCCAGGCCATCAGTCTCAGGGGACTCTTCTGACTGGTGCCGGATTGAGGGACCTCCCAGACCGAAAGTTTTGGGGGTCTCCTGTGGCCAGTATGAATAGAAGGGCCTCTCAGTCCATCAGTCTCATGGGCCTCTTCTGCCTGGTGTGATTATAAGGGCCTCTCAGGTCATCAGTCTCAGGGGCCTCCTCTGACTACAGTGTAGATGGATAGGCCTCCAAGACCATCAGTCTCAGGGGCCTCTTCTGACTATTGAGGATAGAGGGGCCTACTCTGACTAGTGAGGGTAGGGGGCCTCAGCTAGACCGCCAGTGTCAGGGGCCTATTGTGACTAGTGTGGATGGAGGGGCCTCCCAGACCGCCAGTGTCAGGGGCCTCCCCAGACCAGTGTGGATATTGGGGCCTCCTCAGATCCACTAGGGCCTCTCAGGCCATCAGTCTCAGGGGCTTCGACTGACAAGTATGAACAGAGGGCCTCCTTTGATCCATCACGGCCCCTTGGAGTCCGTGCGTGGGGATTCGTGGAACTTATTTTTACCGAGTTTGTTTATTCTGGAAGGTGACGACGTCTTCTCAAATCGAGGCGAGGGGCCTCGAGTAAAAAGTGGGTGGGCCAAAACACATGGTTGGCCCCCCCACCTCGAAAAGTGGGTGGGCACTTGCCCACCTGGCCCCCCCTGTTCCTACGCCTATGGAAAAAACTGCGATAAGTATGTATGCCATGGAGTGAATAAAAGAGCCCACTCTTCGCCGCGCCCGGGAAAAGAAGAGGCTTGCTTTTTCTATCCATGCTCAACTTTCCCCACGACGTGTCTCAACTTACCCCGCCCATGGGGTAAGATGAGAAACGTGCAAGATCATTTTTGACGTAGCCTTTCAGTACAAAAATAAGCGGTATGAAACATTTCTGGCCACCATTACATGCGCAAATGACCACTCTGTCCGACCAACCCGTAAACGCAGAAAAATGATCTGTAATTTAGCCTGTAGCTTACGAAAAACAGAAAGCGGCTCAACTTACCTCATTCTGCCCTACGTAACACAATTGAGGGCATTTTTTAGGCCATCACAGTATTTGTCAACAATTGTTGTTTGGGGGACTGGGGAGGGTGGTTACTGGCTCATAAATTCCCCCCCCCCCCCAAAAAAAAAGAAAGAAAACGAAACCGATCATCCGCGAAAGGAACTATTGAGCTCGAACCAAGGTGACGAATCGATTTATAGGTATGCAGGATGACTAACGATGTCACTTTTTTGACTTCTTGTGTCAAATAAATTCCATCATCTTGATAGCACGTCAACATTCTATTTGACATTTTACAACAAACGTATAACTATTTGGCGCGACTGGCCTCATAAATGTTCTGAAACTAAAACCGTTTCTTCGCAATTAACTTGGACCACGTCATCCCAGCTTATGCACGACAAAAATAAAATAATGCTTCAGGATCACTGGCCTGAATTCCAATGCTTAAAGTTTACTCAAAACCGGTGTGGCTGAGGCACTCTTCGCTACATCTCGTGACGGCCACCATTGTGTTGCATTTTTTCGGTAAGCTATAAGTTAATAAGGAAAGGATTGGTGAGTGGGTTGAAAACAGCCCTCACCCCTCCCCCTCCTTCTGGAAACATAAGTAACCGAAAGATCTAGCGATGGTTTATCCACCCCGTCTGCCGCCGCGCTGCGAGGCCTCGATTCGTTCGGTATGTGGCTTCCTGAGCGGTCCTCCCCGGAGGCAAGGTGAAAGGTCATGGCCTGTATCAGAAATTTATACGTTGCTGAATATGTTTTATAGTTCTTCCAAGGCCTTGGACACCGTTTTATTATATCGGATAAGCATTGCACTTTCTTATCAATCAATACATTTAAAGAAAACTTGATCATAATCTTATACTGCGGCAATTGTAGTTCTGCTTACGGCTGCCTCTTTATGATACGGGCCACCACCACCTCCACTGCGCTGGAGCTCAGCCGTTCTACCCCTCCCCGCTACGGACCGGCCCTCGGGCTAGGTGTGTTAGTACTGAGCGCAAACCTGTAGTAGTCACGTGACTTTCATTCACGTAGCGGGAACGGAAGCTATAGGCGATACCAAGGACGGGCTCTGGGGAGGCAACCGGCGCGGAAAAATAGCACGATTGTAGTTTTGGAAGAATATCTGTTGCGGTAAGAGGAATTATACAAAGCATACGTCCTAGGAGCAAACATGTGTTATTCCTCCATACTTTGCGCTACATTTCCTTTCTCCAATGGCCAGCACTTAGCAAATAATAGCGCAATTCTAAATTGGTAATATATGTGTACAGTAGCAACTGCGGGTCCCTGTACCTGAGAGGGCCCTCTGTGTGCCTGAGAGGGCCCTCTGTGTGCCTGAGAGGGCCCTCTGTGTGCCTGAGAGGGCCCTCTGTATCCTTCACAAGGTCCCTCATTGGCCTAAATGTGTCCCCTAATAATCCTCAAGAGTTCTACAATACTTTTTTCTTTAAGCGAATACAATGGGAAGTGGTCAAAAGGGCCCTTGAAGTCATTTCAATTTTTTCCGTGTTATAAAAAAAAACTTTTTTTCTAGGCTCCAGGGGGGATCCTAGGACCCCCAGGGTCCCCCCTTGGATACGCCACTGACTCCGAGGGCCTTTAGGCCCGAGGTGCTTTTCGCTAAAAAAGCGAGGCGACATTTATTGAATTCCCGGCCTTAGGGCTGGAAGGTGTTTCCCATACCTGCCAAAAAGCTCATAACTATAATTGATAGTGACGTCAGCAGCCGTGTGGTTCAACACGTTTAACCACACCCCTTGAACCACACGGCTGGCAATATTAAAGCACTGCATTAAACTTTGAAAAGTGTGGTACAGTGCACGTGCCATTAAAATGCCTGGCTGTCTTGATTTAATCATGCAATGTAGCAGGTATGGGAAAGCTTGAACTTGAATTGCTGCGTTTCGGGACGTGTGCCAATTACGGACACAGGCATGCACTCCTACTTGGCCTTGCCACGCGTGCACTCCCATCTAGGGAAAACTCACACATTGGTCGACATATTTTTGCAGCTCAGGATCTTCTTCAGATTCAGAGCTACTAGAGTCACTCTCAGCATCCATAACTTCAACATTCCTCCTTTTTGAGCTCATCTTGATCTTGATGCTGACGTTTGTTAGCAGGTAGGTAAAGCACTAAATAACGGGAGAGTATTAGATTATCAATAAATGTAAAGGTCTCAAAGTTCAAGTGTATACTGTTACTGATTTGATGTACCGAGCATCCATACAAGCACCTTTTCTCTCACAAAACAAATAAAACTGAAAAAGGATGCACGCATTCAACCACGCTGCTCGGCGGGGCACGTGCTTGGGCACGGGTATATAGGGCCTTGGGCATGTAACGGAAGTTGGCACAGATTCAGCACAGATTCAGCACAGCACAGATTCGGTAGGGGGAAAAAAGGCCCCGGTAGAGGGAAACCTTTATGACCCGTTTTCCCCTAGAAATGACGTCACAAAGAGGTAAAAATGGGTATCAATCGAAAGCTCTCGTTTACCCAGACACAGTCCTGCAGGAAAATTCCACTTTTTCCCCATAGGAAAGTTTTTACGGGAAAATCAAAATTTTGGGTCAATGGGGGGTCCCCCCCGATTTCGTTCAAAATCGGCACACAGGTGCCCCACCACCAGCCGAGAAACTTTCCCCAAAACGGTCCCCGTTGCATTGACGTTTAAGGCCCTTAAAGCCCCGTAAACTCGTAAAAAATCCGTAAATTCGCCCTTGTACGGCCAAAAACGGGGCGCTAAAGTAAAAATGGGTATCAATCGAAAGCTCTCGTTTACCCAGACACAGTCCTGCAGGAAAATTCCACTTTTTCCCCATAGGAAAGTTTTTACGGGAAAATCAAAATTTCGGGTCAATGGGGGGTCCCCCCCGATTTCGTTCAAAATCGGCACACAGGTGCCCCACCACCAGCCGAGAAACTTTCCCCAAAACGGTCCCCGTTGCATTGACGTTTAAGGCCCTTAAAGCCCCGTAAACTCGTAAAAAATCCGTAAATTCGCCCTTGTACGGCCAAAAACGGGGCGCTAGGGTAAAAATGGGTATCAATCGAAAGCTCTCGTTTACCCAGACACAGTCCTGCAGGAAAATTCCACTTTTTCCCCATAGGAAAGTTTTTACGGGAAAATCAAAATTTCGGGTCAATGGGGGGTCCCCCCCGATTTCGTTCAAAATCGGCACACAGGTGCCCCACCACCAGCCGAGAAACTTTCCCCAAAACGGTCCCCGTTGCATTGACGTTTAAGGCCCTTAAAGCCCCGTAAACTCGTAAAAAATCCGTAAATTCGCCCTTGTACGGCCAAAAACGGGGCGCTATGGTGAAAATGGGTATCAATCGAAAGCTCTCGTTTACCCAGACACAGTCCTGCAGGAAAATTCCACTTTTTCCCCATAGGAAAGTTTTTACGGGAAAATCAAAATTTTGGGTCAATGGGGGGTCCCCCCCGATTTCGTTCAAAATCGGCACACAGGTGCCCCACCACCAGCCGAGAAACTTTCCCCAAAACGGTCCCCGTTGCATTGACGTTTAAGGCCCTTAAAGCCCCGTAAACTCGTAAAAAATCCGTAAATTCGCCCTTGTACGGCCAAAAACGGGGCGCTATGGTGAAAATGGGTATCAATCGAAAGCTCTCGTTTACCCAGACACAGTCCTGCAGGAAAATTCCACTTTTTCCCCATAGGAAAGTTTTTACGGGAAAATCTAAATTTTGGGTCAATGGGGGGTCCCCCCCGATTTCGTTCAAAATCGGCACACAGGTGCCCCACCACCAGCCGAGAAACTTTCCCCAAAACGGTCCCCGTTGCATTGACGTTTAAGGCCCGTAAAGCCCCCTAGACTCGTAAAATATCCGTAAAATCGCCTTTGTACGGACAAAAAAGTGGTGCTATGGTAAAAATGGGTATCAATCGAAAGCTCTCGTTTACCCAGACACAGTCCTGCAGGAAAATTCCACTTTTTTCCCATAGGAAAGTTTTTACGGGAAAATCAAAATTTTGGGTCAATGGGGGGTCCCCCCCGATTTCGTTCAAAATCGGCACACAGGTGCCCCACCACCAGCCGAGAAACTTTCCCCAAAACGGTCCCCGTTGCATTGACGTTTAAGGCCCTTAAAGCCCCGTAAACTCGTAAAAAATCCGTAAATTCGCCCTTGTACGGCCAAAAACGGGGCGCTATGGTGAAAATGGGTATCAATCGAAAGCTCTCGTTTACCCAGACACAGTCCTGCAGGAAAATTCCACTTTTTCCCCATAGGAAAGTTTTTACGGGAAAATCAAAATTTCGGGTCAATGGGGGGTCCCCCCCGATTTCGTTCAAAATCGGCACACAGGTGCCCCACCACCAGCCGAGAAACTTTCCCCAAAACGGTCCCCGTTGCATTGACGTTTAAGGCCCGTAAAGCCCCCTAGACTCGTAAAATATCCGTAAAATCGCCTTTGTACGGACAAAAAAGTGGTGCTATGGTAAAAATGGGTATCAATCGAAAGCTCTCGTTTACCCAGACACAGTCCTGCAGGAAAATTCCACTTTTTTCCCATAGGAAAGTTTTTACAGGAAAATCAAAATTTTGGGTCAATGGGGGGTCCCCCCCGATTTCGTTCAAAATCGGCACACAGGTGCCCCACCACCAGCCGAGAAACTTTCCCCAAAACGGTCCCCGTTGCATTGACGTTTAAGGCCCTTAAAGCCCCGTAAACTCGTAAAAAATCCGTAAATTCGCCCTTGTACGGCCAAAAACGGGGCGCTATGGTTAAAATGGGTATCAATCGAAAGCTCTCGTTTACCCAGACACAGTCCTGCAGGAAAATTCCACTTTTTTCCCATAGGAAAGTTTTTACGGGAAAATCAAAATTTTGGGTCAATGGGGGGTCCCCCCCGATTTCGTTCAAAATCGGCACACAGGTGCCCCACCACCAGCCGAGAAACTTTCCCCAAAACGGTCCCCGTTGCATTGACGTTTAAGGCCCTTAAAGCCCCGTAAACTCGTAAAAAATCCGTAAATTCGCCCTTGTACGGCCAAAAACGGGGCGCTATGGTTAAAATGGGTATCAATCGAAAGCTCTCGTTTACCCAGACACAGTCCTGCAGGAAAATTCCACTTTTTCCCCATAGGAAAGTTTTTACGGGAAAATCAAAATTTTGGGTCAATGGGGGGTCCCCCCCGATTTCGTTCAAAATCGGCACACAGGTGCCCCACCACCAGCCGAGAAACTTTCCCCAAAACGGTCCCCGTTGCATTGACGTTTAAGGCCCTTAAAGCCCCGTAAACTCGTAAAAAATCCGTAAATTCGCCCTTGTACGGCCAAAAACGGGGCGCTATGGTGAAAATGGGTATCAATCGAAAGCTCTCGTTTACCCAGACACAGTCCTGCAGGAAAATTCCACTTTTTCCCCATAGGAAAGTTTTTACGGGAAAATCTAAATTTTGGGTCAATGGGGGGTCCCCCCCGATTTCGTTCAAAATCGGCACACAGGTGCCCCACCACCAGCCGAGAAACTTTCCCCAAAACGGTCCCCGTTGCATTGACGTTTAAGGCCCGTAAAGCCCCCTAGACTCGTAAAATATCCGTAAAATCGCCTTTGTACGGACAAAAAAGTGGTGCTATGGTAAAAATGGGTATCAATCGAAAGCTCTCGTTTACCCAGACACAGTCCTGCAGGAAAATTCCACTTTTTTCCCATAGGAAAGTTTTTACGGGAAAATCAAAATTTTGGGTCAATGGGGGGTCCCCCCCGATTTCGTTCAAAATCGGCACACAGGTGCCCCACCACCAGCCGAGAAACTTTCCCCAAAACGGTCCCCGTTGCATTGACGTTTAAGGCCCTTAAAGCCCCGTAAACTCGTAAAAAATCCGTAAATTCGCCCTTGTACGGCCAAAAACGGGGCGCTATGGTGAAAATGGGTATCAATCGAAAGCTCTCGTTTACCCAGACACAGTCCTGCAGGAAAATTCCACTTTTTCCCCATAGGAAAGTTTTTACGGGAAAATCAAAATTTTGGGTCAATGGGGGGTCCCCCCCGATTTCGTTCAAAATCGGCACACAGGTGCCCCACCACCAGCCGAGAAACTTTCCCCAAAACGGTCCCCGTTGCATTGACGTTTAAGGCCCGTAAAGCCCCCTAGACTCGTAAAATATCCGTAAAATCGCCTTTGTACGGACAAAAAAGTGGTGCTATGGTAAAAATGGGTATCAATCGAAAGCTCTCGTTTACCCAGACACAGTCCTGCAGGAAAATTCCACTTTTTTCCCATAGGAAAGTTTTTACGGGAAAATCAAAATTTTGGGTCAATGGGGGGGTCCCCCCCGATTTCGTTCAAAATCGGCACACAGGTGCCCCACCACCAGCCGAGAAACTTTCCCCAAAACGGTCCCCGTTGCATTGACGTTTAAGGCCCTTAAAGCCCCGTAAACTCGTAAAAAATCCGTAAATTCGCCCTTGTACGGCCAAAAACGGGGCGCTATGGTGAAAATGGGTATCAATCGAAAGCTCTCGTTTACCCAGACACAGTCCTGCAGGAAAATTCCACTTTTTCCCCATAGGAAAGTTTTTACGGGAAAATCAAAATTTTAGGTCAATGGGGGTCCCCCCCGATTTCGTTCAAAATCGGCACACAGGTGCCCCACCACCAGCCGAGAAACTTTCCCCAAAACGGTCCCCGTTGCATTGACGTTTAAGGCCCGTAAAGCCCCCTAGACTCGTAAAATATCCGTAAAATCGCCTTTGTACGGACAAAAAAGTGGTGCTATGGTAAAAATGGGTATCAATCGAAAGCTCTCGTTTACCCAGACACAGTCCCGCAGGAAAATTCCACTTTTTTCCCATAGGAAAGTTTTTACGGGAAAATCAAAATTTTGGGTCAATGGGGGGTCCCCCCCGATTTCGTTCAAAATCGGCACACAGGTGCCCCACCACCAGCCGAGAAACTTTCCCCAAAACGGTCCCCGTTGCATTGACGTTTAAGGCCCGTAAAGCCCCCTAGACTCGTAAAATATCCGTAAAATCGCCTTTGTACGGACAAAAAAGTGGTGCTATGGTAAAAATGGGTATCAATCGAAAGCTCTCGTTTACCCAGACACAGTCCTGCAGGAAAATTCCACTTTTTTCCCATAGGAAAGTTTTTACGGAAAATCAAAATTTTGGGTCAATGGGGGGTCCCCCCCGATTTCGTTCAAAATCGGCACACAGGTGCCCCACCACCAGCCGAGAAACTTTCCCCAAAACGGTCCCTGTTGCATTGACGTTTAAGGCCCTTAAAGCCCCGTAAACTCGTAAAAAATCCGTAAATTCGCCCTTGTACGGCCAAAAACGGGGCGCTATGGTGAAAATGGGTATCAATCGAAAG